AAATTTACAACATCCAAGTTAATGGCCGCGTAGGCCCGTTCTAGCATCGTAAACGCCGTAGACACGTGCCCACGCCATGTCTTGCCCGACACCGTCTGGATCATGTGGTACAGAGCCGAGCGCCGCTCATTCATGCCAGCCTGCCGGAATGGTGATCGAAGAAATAACCAGTTCTCATACGAACTGCGGAATATCATTGCATTGCGCTGGGCTACCTCCGGACAGACCGGCACGAAGTATCGACGCAACTGCGTTCTCTGGCGAGTCAACCGCTTCGTACCGAAAATGATCGTGTACATCACGGCGCTGTCCTTGGACAGGACCTTAGCCGGCTCGTACCATAGAGGCGACGACTGCGATAGCCCCGGCTTGGTCTTAAACTAGACCAAGTCACCCGCGGCACACACTCACGCCCCGCGTTGCCTCACTTCAGCTGCGCCGCCTGCGCCGACTGAACCCTCACATGCGCATCATCGTCAATGATGACCGCTGCCGCAGTATACGATTGCTACAAGAGCGCCCTGACCTGTTCACCCAGGGCAAACTCACGGTCCCCGTCAGTTTTGGCGGTTCGTCGCCATATTCTATGGCGCACGACCCCGTGTAAACGTGGCTGCCGCGTTGTATGCATTACGGAACTAGTATGCCAACTGCACCCAGTCCCCTTGCAATCCTCTGTGAGGGACTTAAAGGATCCAATCCCTAGCCACCTTCACGACTGCCTCCGCTGCCCCATTGCCTTGGTGGTGGTCAGTTGTAGCCGGATCCACCTTACTGCCTTGGCTGCCGGCAAAATCTCGGATCTCCCGCAGTCCAGGACCTTATCCTGGTCCACCGTGTACATCTTAGGCTCTTTCTGGAGGAAATGCTTCACCCTCCTGCTGCTCTTGGATTTAAAAGGCTTGAGCAGGACAATGTCTGTTAGCTGGTCAACCATCAATAGCAGGTAAGCATGACCTTCCGACGTTCGCGGGAGGTCCGCGAAGTCCATGAACTCATGCTGAAGAAGACCACGCGCGCGCTTAGACTGCTGCATAAGCCCATACTGGCGTTTACCATGGGGATCCCTCATAGTCATGAGAGCCAGGGCTCAGACAAAACCGTATGTAGATAGGCAAACAAATACGTGATATATGGTATAAATCCTAGAACAACGCACTCCACAAGAAAGTATAAAAGTGTGTGAAGCATCATTACCTAAATTGAGATTGGACAAGCTACCTGAGATCAGATCATCAAGAATCACAATAATACAATATCAATAAGAGCACTCTATTACGTTCATGGAGAACAACCTTGGAATAACATAGAATCACGTATTATATAACAACAACATACATAAAGACAGACGACGCCAGAAGGTACAAAGTGTGTCATAGATGAAATCAGATCAGCATCCCAAGGAGTATTCTCATTATCAAAACAGTAAGCGGCTATGGAAGAAGGTAGCCTAGTGAGAAGTTCAAAAGTATATACGAGAAGTATAGGGAAGCACAAAAACCACACAATAACACACGTCAAACAATCAAGAGTGGCCCAATAAATCAGATCGAGTGCACAAATCACTCAAAAAAGATCTAGATGGTAAAGCATCACTCCAAGCAGTAAAGCGATCCAATAAATCTAGCATTATTATTACAAAAAGCACAAAGAAGTGTAGTGTAGACTCACAAAAACAGAACACAGTGTAGACGCAATATCAGTTCCTAAATCGAGGTGTGAAAGGTAGAAATCTCACGTGCACATTAACATTTCAAGAAGTTGTACAAATTTAGATGACGGGAAAGCAAGCTGGGCACAATTAACAACTAACAAGCTAGTAATATAATAACAATAACGAAGTAAAATCGCAAAGTAGAAACAGCTTGCACAGGTGAGACGTACAGAAATACATGACGCACAATCCATGAAATCAGAGAAGCAAGACAGGACTTCAGAATCTGGAACAGGAAGAACAAGTATAATTAATACTCTGTTCATAGATTCACGAAATTACAATTATACAAAATAAACTCGATCTAGGAGACAAACACCTCAAAGAGATTAAAAGGGGTGAGAATCAGCAACAGCATCAAATCGAATCAAGACACATATATCATACAACCAAGGCATGCGTACATGGTCAAAAAGAAAAAGAAAGTTTTCAGAACAACTATAACAATAATAAAAGTTGGAAGACAAGACATCACGCAAGACCCATACAGTTACATAACATAGGCACACAAGAACATAAGGCAACTCATACACACAAGATCAGACTACAACCGGTAGAGAGCACCTGACATGAGCTTCAATCAATACTTCCCTACTAATATACACACGCATCTATTACACAAAAAATCAGTATACTGTACGAGTATTTGGTACAAGATCAAACTTTAACACAAGAGGTTCGCTACAGGACCGAACTTCACACGTGTCGTGGACAAAACAGTAGTTCGGTACAAGACCAAACACAACAAGAAGTTCGGTACAAGACTGAACACAACAAGAAGTTCGGTACAGGACCCAGCATCAAGAGGTGACGTCAATATGACCGAAATTCCCTGGTGACGTGACTAGGACCAAACATATGATTAAAATAACATAAGAAAATAATATCTCACATGACGAAATATACACAAATATACATGCATACACATATATATACACATACATACATACATACATACATACATACACACACACATATATATATATATATATATATAAATATATAGATATATATATATATATATATATATATATATATATATATATATATATATATATATATATATATATATATATATATATAAACATATATATATATATATTTATGTATATATATATA